GATGCATGGTTTTGAATGTCTACTGGATTGGACTGAATTGGTTGAAGAAGTCTCGTATACAACAGGCGTGACTGAATGGGCACTCGTCGATGTCGGGCGACAGAACTCCTCCTTCGCGGACACAACTTGTGTTTCCAAACAAAACTTTGTGCAAATTTTTAAAACAATTTTATAGTAATTTTAATTTATTTTATAAATGTTTTGTAAACTTTTTAATAATTATTTTCTGAAATCAAAAGCTTTATTTCATATAATATTTATTTGTATTTATTATTAAACATTGAATTTATAATAAAAAAGAAATTAATTTTCAAACAAAACTGATTTTTAAATCATTTAATATTTAGTGCGAAAAAACTGAACGAATAGTAAAAGCAATGAATGAATGGATTTGTGAATGCATTCCAATTAAAGACGCATTAAGTCATTGCAGCCGTCGTTCAATACAATCAGTCATTCATTGCATTCAACGGACTTTGCGTTCAATTAATTCATACTTTGAGAGAGTTTTGCAAATCATTGTCTTCTGATGGCGACACCGAAGAGACCGAACGGAACCAATGACTTGTCGAGTCTATTGCCAGAGAACGAAGAACTCGACTTCGAAGAAGACATTCCGGAGGACTTAGTGTCGCAACAGAGCCAACGGCTGTCGAGTCAAGTCGTGATTGTGGACATTGAGGTCGAGTCGCAGGACAACAGTCAGAGGTCTTCCGAAGCGGAGGAACCGGTGTTGAGTGACAATGAATTGGCCGAAGAAATGTCATTTACTCAAAACGCTTGTTCTCAGCGTTCAAACAAGTCTTCGACTCAGAGATTGACAACAGGACAGTCAAAGGGAAGACAATCTTCCGGACAAGGCGTGAGTGGTATCGGTTCCGCCACTACTTCTACTACAACTATTGAAAAGGTGCCAATCAATGACACGACCGGTCAATCAGGCGGTAACCCATCGGCGGTCACTCCCGGACCAGACGATAGAAAGGTTCCGCCGCTAATAATAACTTTGGACTCAATGGGAGAAAAGATTGAAAGTCATCGTCGAAAGAATCCCACGCCAAAGAAACAACCGGTTTGTAATAAATATTAATTTAAACGTTATTTAAACTTAATTTCACTGAATGTCAGCCAAAGAGTGGAAGTACTTTCGAAAGGAAGCAAATGGCGAGAAAGTCGACTGGAGGTGGACACCAATTCGCGACCAAAACCAAACCACGACAACAACTGTCGACCAAATCTGTTCCCAAGAAAAATGTCGAAACGGGTGCTCCGAAGAGACACCGCTATAGACCCGGACAGAAGGCTCTTCGAGACATTCGCAAATACCAGATGAATACGGATTTGTTGATCAAAAAAGTTCCGTTCCAGCGATTGGTGCGAGAGATCGCGAGTCACCTAAGCATCGCTTCGGAAGGCCTCCGCTTCCAGACGACTGCATTGTTGGCACTGCAAGAGGCGTCCGAAGCCTATCTCGTCAACCTGTTTGAAGACACCAATCTGTGCGCCATTCACGCCAAGAGAGTCACTATTATGCCTAAAGACATGCAATTGGCTCGACGTATACGCGGCGAAAGTGCTATTCCTCGCGAACAATGATTATTCTTCTCATAAATTAATTCATTTAAATTTAGATTAAATTCAATATCGTATCCGTTTTTCATATCATTTATAATATAATCCATTTAAATAATAATAATAATACTGTATAATCACTTAAATCACACTCAAATAATCTAAATAATTGATTAGAAATGTTTTCTTTATAAAAATAAATATCTAAATGTTTTTTATGACAAACTTATCAATTCTTTCCAATGATAAGCTGATAAGAAGTTTGCAGTTTTATCTCAACCAACAGATAACTAAACAAATATTTGGGAATAGATATAAACAGACATTAATTTAAAAGTATTATCAAAAGCTCGATATAAGCTTTAAATCTAGTAAATAACACACCTTTTGATCGTTTCATTAATAGTTTATTGAACTCATCCACAGAACCAATTGTCCTCAATGTCCACACCTGTACAGTAGTCAATGTCCACTCAAGTATTCACTTTCATTTTGTAGAAACTTTTTAAAACAAAAATACTTTGAAAAAGGCATGAAATTTCAATATATCGTATTGATTATCACTACATTACAGGCAGTTGACAGTGGATCAAGTGTTGCAACACTTTGTTCACCAAATGCTTGTTTATTTCCTAATCAAAATCATGGTTTGCATCGGAATGAGAGAACTATTCAAACGGATGCAAATGTTAAATCATCGCATCCGACACCAGTGTCTCGTAAGTTATTTATTGCTTTTTAATAAACACTCATATTTTAAAAACGTCTCGTATTTCATTGATAACAGTGACCATCGATGGTAGGGATCCGCGAGAAGCACTCATTTTTGCGCCGCAACGTAATCGACAAAAACTAATGTTTGCACATATAGTCGATAATAATGTGGACAGAGATTCAATGGTAGACAACGGGTCAGAAAAGGTAGCAAAACAACCCGAGTTTCTTCGAGGGATAAACTTAGAGTCGCGTCAAATGCCACACAACACACATATGAGTCCTGTGAGGACACAAAAGTCCCGAAACCCGGACCGAGTAGTGAGTGGTGCGGCCGATTCTATGCCAACTCCAGATCTGCCACGACATCCACTGCCGGCCTCAACGAAGCCGTTGTCCGAGAAAAAGGATTGCGTTGTGATGGGACGGGCGGGTCATTGCTTTCCTTACTATCCGATACAAAATGTGTACAATTGCTTCTCACAGGCGGGAGTGGTGGCCATGGATGCGGTCAGGTGTACGTGGCTCAGGGCCTGCTGTGTACACAACTTTTTCTGATCTGATTTTCTAAACCGAAAATAGT